GGCCGACCCCGCGCCACCACACTCACCGCGGTCCCAGCGGCCCCGGCAGCCGGGTCTCCAGCCCGAGGCGCGTGACTCGGCCGGGCCGTACCATCTTCTCAGCTCCGCGGGGGAGGCGCAGGGATAGGAGCGCGCCCCGCCCCGCCAGGCGGGTGGGGCCTCGCCCAGTCTCGCACGCCCGGAACTCAGCCTGAGTACCACAGCTCCAAAGTCTGGCGGGGAACCAAGAGCAGCGGCCCGCCACCTCCCTCTTTCGCCGCCCCCATGCTGCTCTCCCCCGCCGAGAGGTGCAGAGTGGTTCAGGCCGCACTGGCTGGGGCTGCTGGAGGAAACCATTTCATGCGCGGGGGGATGCTAAAATTTAAAAACCATTTTAAAGAGATTGGACCGAAAATATGACCAGCGAAAGACTCCCTGCCCACACCTCAGAGGAAAAGAGGTGAACGTTGTAAGAGCAATGTACTGTTCGTCTGGCTCCACCGTTGGTTTTTATTAAATCGCCAATGGACCGTTCTTCTCCCTACATTAGGCGGTGGAGGGTGCGGGCGGGCGGCCGTCCCGTGATGTGAGGGACGCCCAGGCGCCCCGTGGCCGGGCGGGACCGCGCATGTGCATGACTCACCCGCTCCTTTTCCCTCCTTCCACTCACCCACCCACGCAGAGCATCCAAGTTTTTAGAAAGCAAATTGATTATTGACTATTTTCTTAAAGCCTGGCGCCTGTTGTTCAGTTTGGTTACTTAAAAATTAATTTTAGGGCCAGCCCGTGGCTCACTAGGGAGAGTGCAGTGCCGATAACACCAAGGCCATGGATTCGGATCCTACATAGGGATGGCTGGTTGGCTCACTTGGGAGAGCGTGGTGCTGACACCACCAAGTCAAGGGTTAACATCCCCTTACCGGTCATGTTTAAAAAAATAAAAATTAATTTTAAAGCGATTAGTGCATGCAGTAATGTGGTACTTCCAGTGAGAGCTTAGGGAGAGCTGAGTATTGAACCGGGAGCTGCCACCTGGTGCGGGGCTAATCCAGAGACTTCTAGCCACAGCTGCGGTCCCAGCAGGTGTCCAGGGTGCGGTCATCAGGAAGGGCTGTAAGAAGAGCCTCAGCCGTTTTGCATAGGATCGGGTGGTTGCATTTTTGAGGTCACAAAGGTCATTTCTTTCTTTTTCTTTGGATTTCCATGTTATGTTGAAATGGCGACGTGAGAAAACGAAATTATAGCTTGTTTTCTACCTTCTCTTCCTGGCTTGGTAAAGGTTAAAGAGTATGACTGGAGTTACCAGGTTAGGCGTTGCCTGTTTGTTTATTTATACCAACTATATTTAATCCAATTCCTCCTGACATTGGACAGCACAAACTTAATTTATCGGCTAGTAAGTCACAAGATAATTTTTGAAGCAATAAAACAAAACACAGAGGTATACTGATTTAAAATTCTGTTTATACTCCTACCTTCAACAGTGTAGATACTTCGGTCTTATTGAGTTTGCAGAATGCTTTGAGAGCCTTAGTGAAAAGGTGCGAGAAGTGTTTGTGGCCACCTCGTACCTGTGCTTCCCAATTTCCAAAAAAAAAAAAAAAAAAATTTCCAACATTTGTCAAAGTGAGCAGGATTCACGCTGAAAATGGCCATCCCTGCAATTCTGAGCAGAAAACTGATTAACTGATTTCCACACTAATAAGCAAAAAACTTACAAAACTTCCCGCAAATTTCAATTAGTGACTATGGCCATTTTTATATATTTAATCTATTTGTTTCTTTTTTGGCGGCTGGCCGGTAGGGGGATCTGAACCTGTGACCTTGGTGTTTACAAAGCCAAGCTCTAACCAACTGAATTAACCGACTAGCCCTGCTGTTTTTAACAAAGAGAGTAATATCTTTTTTATTAAAAAAAACCCAAAAAACAAAAACCAACTGTATCTTCTATTCAATCAGTTTTGTTTTGTTTTTTTCCCCCTTGTAATCCTGTTTTTTCCCATTTCTCTTAGTGGTGCTCTTGAAACTAATTTGCTAGTGAGGTTTTAAACCAAGATCGAGTTTTTTTTTTTTTTTTTTTTTTTTTTTTTTTTAATAACCTTAGTTCCAGGAATTACCTTTTTCAATTGGTTAGTGAAGCCACCACCTTGCTCAGATGATCCTTTTTTTCCCACGGTGACAGGCTAACGGAGAGCCCACGTGCAGGAAGGTTATTTGAGCACTGCCATTTTCAATGAAATTCAATATGCACTCACCACAGCTGGGCTCAACTTATGCCACTAGTACCTTTCTCAACACCACGGGCTTCAGCCACCTACCTCTTTACACGGTGTTTTCTAAAATACCCGGGGTCTTCAAAAAGTTCACCAAAGGATTTGTATCATCTTAATTCCATTTTTCCACTAACTTTTTAAAGTACTATTGGGAAACCTACAAATCTGTTAAAAACTAAAAACTACTGCCAAATCCTTGCCCCAGTGAATTGTACCAAGGGTTAATTAAACTGGACTCTCAGGGTATAAACTTTCAAGGACACTCAACGAAAGGGACATTTTAGAAGTCAGAAAATGTACCCAACATTATCAGTGAAAAGTCAATTAAAACTTAGCAGAAAAGCTTCACTTCAGAGAGCAAAGCTGGCAATAACGTCTAACAATTAGCAACCAATTGAAATACGATGCTGACCTCAGAGCTTCTATCCCATGATAGAAATTGTATGAAATGTTATCCAAAGCATTGGATATACTACTGCCTGGCACTTATACAGTCCAGAAGATGTTTTTTCCATCACTGAAGCAGGCTTGATTAGAATTAAAGATGTCCTGATACTTTCCCATCTTCTTACTACAAGGGAGCATCCAGACTGACCAATCACTTCCATGATACCATTTGCCAAGACCATAGAGCCAAGTGAATAGAGAAAAGGCAAGTCTCATTCTGAAACTTCCCTTAGAGGTGTTTAGATGTACTCTTACCAACATATGCTCTCATGTAGCTGTAGGATTGGGCTTTATCTTTGAGTCAAAGCACCATGTTGCTGATTCAGTTTTCAGTTTCAGGAAGGAGTGTATTTCATTTGTAAGCAATTAAATCTAATATTTTAAATCACATCTCATTATTTTAAGGTTACTATAACAGATTCCCTGTTATAAAAATAATTAATAATCTAAGCTTTCATTTCTTCTAACAACCAATAAAACATTTTCTGTGTTTTTAGATGTGTTTAATGGTTTGGGGGTCTGGCCAGCTGCTGAAAGGCAGCAAGCAATGTGGTAACATTGCAAAAGGTGGAACTCACGCACCATTTTTTTTTTTTTTTTAAAGATGACCAGTAAGGGGATGTTAACCCTTGACTTGGTGTTGTCAGCACCACGCTCTCCCAAGTGAGCCAACCGGCCATCCCTATATAGGGATCCGAACCTGTGGCCTTGGTGTTATCAGCACCACACTGTGAGCCACAGGCCGGCCCTTCACGCACCATTTCTAAGTCAAGTTGAGGTTGTAGGTAACTAGACAATCAACTGCATATAAGGTGTCCAGCCAGTTGCAAGGCATGAACTATTTGTAGTCCAATAAAATTTTAAAAGCCACTAGGATCAACTTAGTATTTTTTACCATAGCAATTTCTGTAAGCTTTTAAAAATTAACCTCCCTTCCCCAATTAGAATTCAACTGCTAGGCCTTTATGTTTTAATCTAATACTAGCTGCCTGTTAAATACCAAGTGGTTTTTGTTTAGTCCGGTAAACAACCATGGATCCAGTCTATGGATTCAGACTTATTAAAAACCTTTGCAATCAGCAAAAGTTCTCTGATTTCAGCTTTTGATTTTAGGAAAGGATACAGAAAGGATTTTGTCTTTGTTCATCATCATTAGGTAATTCAACTGCCTAAAAAGATAGCCATCACATTTTCCTGTTTACAGATACCTGATTTACCCAATCATTTGTTTTCTCTGGGCCCTTTGCAACTGCTCAGGCTTATGTGCAAATAACATCTTCCACAAATTGGCTGCCATTTCAAGTTGCAACCCAGAAACTTTAGAACATACAAACCCAGTGCCGGCCCGGTGGCGCACTGGATAGTGCGCCGCTTGGGAAGCGCGGCGGCACTCCCACCCGAGGGTTCGGATCCCACATACAGACCGGTTCCCGCTCACTGGCTGAGCGAGGCGCGGGAGCAACACCGAGGTTTGCAGTCCCGTTGCCGGTCCCCGGTCCGGTGCAGGGGCAACACTGAGGGTTGCGATCCGTTGCCGGACACGGAAAAAAAGATAAAAGACACACACACACACACACACACACACAAAAAACATACAAACCCAAACCTTCATCTTGGAAAAGCAAATAACAGAGGGCTGGCCCATGGCTCACTTGAGAGTGTGGTGCTGATAACACCAAGGCCACGGGTTCAGATCCCTATATAGGGATGGCCAGTTTGCTCACTTCAGAGAGCGTGGTGCTGACACCACCAAGTCAAGGGTTAAGATCCCCTTACTGGTCATCTTTAAAAAAAAAAAGAAAAGCAAATAACAAGAGAGAATTGTAATATAACTTGACCGTTGGCACAGGCAGAGGAGGGAAACAGAACAAGGTAGGTTCACAAATGAACACCAACAGTTCAGTGTACTTAAAAAGCTAAAACTTAACTTTCCCCAACTCTGCCAAATGATTTGCTAAAAGTATCTTTGTAAAAGTTGTCCCTGATTGGTTTACACAGGCACTGTCCTGTTACTGAGGCTAGTTGGTATCTTTCACAGTAATGGGCTATAACTTAGCTTTGCCTGGGACTTTGTTTTACTAAACAAAGTAAAGAAGGTGCCATCCACACATGGCAGAAAAATCCCAGTACTTTATTGCCCATTAGTACCAGTTTTTGGTTCAGAAAACATCTACTGCCATTTCAAAAGCATGCAACCAGATGTTTCTTTAAAGAATACCTTATACTGACTGACAAATTCCAAACTGGAGATCTCTCAGACCAAGCCTACCCATTGAGAGTCTATATTAAAAATTAGACATTGTTACTTTGGGAGGTTCCTTTGGCATCAATCCAAATAGAAATACAAATGTAATGCAAGTACTGGATTCTGAGGGCAGTCAATTATTCTCATTAAACCAGAGTATTAATAACATTTGAGATTACCATGAAAAGAAAAACTTGAAAAATCCTCAGAAAACTAGTAGGTCCTCCTAATGAACACCAATCCAAGGCCACAGCCTTGGTGCTCAGAACTGCTGTAATCCTCTAAGTGCAAATTCGCCATCAAAATGCCAGAGGTAGGGGCCGGCCTGGTGGCACACTGGATAGTGCGCCGCTTGGGAGTGTGGCGGCGCTCCCGCCGTGGGTTCGGATCCCATGTTGAGACCGGTTCCCGCTCACTGGCTGAGCGTGGTGCAGGCGCGACACCGAGGGTTGCGATCCTGTTGCCGGTCAGTAAAAAAGACAAAAAGGAAAAAAAAAATGCCAGAGGTAGGGGCCGGCCGTGGCTCACTTGGGAGAGTGTGGTGCTGATAACACCAAGGCCACGGGTTCGGATCCCATATAGGGATGGCCGGTTTGCTCACTGGCTGAGCGTGGTGCTGACAACACCAAGTCAAGGGTTAAGATCCCCTTACCGGTCATCTTAAAAAAAAAAAAAAAAAAATGCCAGAGGTATTCTTAAGTAAACATTTTACAAATTAATTTGCTGCTGAGAATAAATACAAAGCTTCAGCTAAGGCTATCTTAATTATGCATGCAGCAAGCACAGCCTGGTAACTTTCCCAAAGCAAGAAACAGGCAGAGCCCAGACAACATAATTCTCAGAGGTAGCAGGTGCGAAGTCCCAAAATACTCTCTTCTTAGGAACAAATGAGGCCATGCATGTCCTTGACCCCATAAGATTTTCAAAAGTAACTCCTGTCAGGAGAGAAACCACTCGCCAGTTTCTTTAATAGAGCTATCAACCAGGTATTGGAGAAGGAAAAAAAGCCTCCCAAGGTAGGAACTGCAGAAAGCTGATACCTGCCCTTAGGGGATTAATAGAACTTAGACTTCTGAAGGAGAAGCTCAGTGGAACTGGTTCCCTGACTTCTGTGTGGGGAGATGGGGAAGCCTGCCACCTGGGGGTGCACTGAGGCTGATTCTCGGAGCACTGGGGAAACTGTCAACTGGAACTGCTGACGCTGGAAACATCCTTGCCTGGGCCATCCTGCTCAACAGAAGCAGGTGGCAAGGAGCCTGTCTTTTCCTCCTCCCTAGCTTTCTAGTCTCCTTCCTGCTGGTTTGCTAGAGATCTAGCCCCAGAATCACACAGTACAATATGGAAAGGGGGGTTTAAAGCTTTTTATGTGACTCGTGGTGTTCAATAGGATCTCTTTTTTTCTTTTTTTTTTTTTTGGTGACTAGCAGTACAAGAGTATCTTTTTATAAATAATGAAAATGTGATTTACCACAGAGCTTGACACATTTAAAAAAGTGAATGTTGCCAGCCAGAGAGAAATGCTTTTTAAGGACCAAATTTGATGTGTTTTAATCTGACTACATTTTACAAAGTCTCCACACCATTCCGGGGCTGAATCAGTGAATCCTAGTCCAAAGTCCTATGGGGCGAGGGGCCCTCAACATAATCCAAATGCACCTGTGCAGCTTACCTGAAAAGAAAGTGGGAAAGCCTGCCATTTGTCTCGTAACAACTATAATCTAAGTAGAGAGGAGAAAAAAGCCATTCTCAAGGCTTAAATGTAGCACACACCAAAGTGCTTAAGAGCCAACAGCATCTTAAAATTCACAACACATACTTTCACTAAAATGCATGTTAGTCCTAATTTTGAAAATTACCTTATTATGCCTTATGAATTCTCTCAGCTTTATTTGTGTTTTGCTGTTTGTTTCTGTCACCTCTTGGATTCAAATCCTCCAAAAATTCCTAAAATCCCACTACTACTATTCACAATAAATGTGTTCATTACAAACTTTTCAGAGGTGAAAAAAGTGATATAGAAGACACTTCAATATTCAAGGAATTTAAAACAAAAAGGTAGATTTAATGCATTAACAACAATAATCTGAGGATAAATAAATCCACAACAGACTTTAAAGTTTGAAAATTTTTTTCCTTTCTTTGCAGAGAGAATGGTTTTCTGAAAGCACATAGGACTGAAGATGTCAAAACAAAGTTAATTTCTTAATGTCCAGGTGAAACAGGCTTGGTTCTCCCTGCTGCCCTCCTACCACTTGCCACTGGCCAAGGTGATGGTTTCTCTTGTTTAACTCACGATGGGTGTTAGTTTCAAGAGTAACTGGATGGTTTGTTTCCTGAATCATCTTCTTGTGAGCCCATACTCTGTAAAGGGGAGAGTGAGGCAGTGTGTTTACATTTGCCTTTGTCAAGGGTTTCCATTCAGTCCCAAACAAGAACACCAGCTACTTATCCCGTCCCCCTCAGAGGAAAGCCACCTTGTGAATTGCAACAGCAGACAATTCTAGGAACCACCCTCTAATCATACTTCCACAAGTACTTCTCTGTGACTTTATTGATAAAGGTTTTCAAGAACATTGGGCAACTAAATATTTAATAGCCTGAAACCAGGTTATCCCATGCCTGATGTGGCAACACCCCTCCTTTTCTACCCTGCACACTTCTTATAATGAGGGGAACCCCTAATCACCTTTTGCACGAACTGGGGGTTCACTGTAATCTCCTGGTCCATGGCCTTCAGCCGTTCGTCCAGTTCTATGCACTTCAACATCTGCATGACAGACATGTTTAAATGTGGTTGGTAAGCAATTTAGGTCAGTTACATCCTTTTTAACCTAGACTATTAACATGGGTGCTATAGGTTCACAATCCCTTGATCTGAAACCCCTGTGGCCACATGGGTTTTGGAGTCAGAATATTTTCAATTCAGAAAGCTAATACGGTACAAGTGCTATTACCTAACATCCCAGCAGGGTCTAGGCAGTATCCCATCATCAAATACATTCATATCTTTTGCAGTGAAACTGAAGTATATTCACACTAAGTGAGATAAATAAAGACTATACATCATTTCAGGTGACATTTTGCCATCAAATGAGTTACCTAAAAAACTTCCGTTTTTAGGCTTTAAAAAAAAAAACTTTAAAATTGCACAAAAGGGACTATGGAGGTATCCTATGTTACTGTATGTTACTTTTAGGTTTCTGAGATTTAACATTTGTTCAATAATTTCCCTACTCATAGATGAGAAACACAGACTTCCCATATGACCCCACTTCACACCCCAAAACCCAGAGAGGTGCTCAAAGCAGCTCGCCCTCAGGAGATGCAGAGGTGGCTGCTACTGAACCCACACTGCTGATTGACGGGGACCTTCAGGGATGGCTTTGCTCCTCTCCTTCTCCAGCCACCCCAATTCTGCTCCTGAAACAGGGAGAGATGTTTCCTGACTTCTCAACCTGAAACTCCGCATACATTTACCACAGAAACAAGGCTCTACACTACAACTGGCAGTTGGGTATAGATAAAAATTTATTAGACCCTCTAAGTGTTGTCGGAATTAGAATAGGTTTTGGTAAGTTAGTTGGGAAATCTAACTCACCATTTATTTACAGCCATATGATCTGGAAGAGTATTAAGCAGCCCATTTCGAAATTAATTTTCTAGGAACTAAGATGTTTCTAGATTGGAAACTACCTGTATTTAAAAGTAAAATTTTCCGGGCCGGCCCGGTGGCGCACTGCTACAGTGTGCCGCTTGGGAGCGCGGTGGCGCTCCTGCCGGGGGTTCGTATCCCACATACAGACCGGTTCCCGCTCACTGGCTGAGCGAGGTGTGGGCGCAACACCGAGGGTTGCGATCCGTTGCCGGACACGAAAAAAAAAAAAAAAAAAAAGTAAAATTTTCCTAAAGCATAGGAGCAGTATTTCAAATACAACATGTCAACCATCAATCAGAAACGGTGAATGGCATTCATGCTTACCTCCTGATCGATGTTATGAAGCATGGCTGGGTTGTTATATTTTTCAGGGTTATCGTGGAAACTGACCATACCATCCTTCTGATTAATACTTGCAAAAATTTCACCATCTTCTATCTACAGAAAAATAAATCAGGAAAGCAGTTTAGACCCAAACACTATGTGAATATACAGTATATATTTGTTATATTATTTTATATAATCAGGGAAAGGACAGAAAATACATAAACTTGTATGTGTATTTTTAAGCACCAAGTTTATTCAACCTCTATTTACTGGACACCTACTATATGCTAGGTACCATTATAGATGCTAACGGGTGCAAAGCCCTCCCTCTTTCCCACTTTCTCTCTCACTCACATAAAACACGTGCGTGTGCACACACACACACACACACACACACATCCCTGCCCTTGCATTTTTTTTTTTTACTAAGGTGAAATCCATATAACATAATCAATCATTTTAAAATAAGCAATTCAGTGGCATTTAGTTCATTCACAATACTGTGCAACCACCCGCTCTATCTAGGTCCAAAACATTTTCATTGCCTCAAAAGGAAACCCATCAGTAGCCACTCCCCATTCCCTCCTCCTCTCAGCACCTGGCAACCACTTAGTCTGCTTTCTGTCTGTATGCAGTTGCCTATTTTGGATATATCCTATAAATGGCACCATACACTATGTGGTCTTTTGTGTCTGGCTTCACTTAGCATAATGTTTTTTTTTTTTTTTTTAAATGTTTTTAAGGTGCCCTTGTGTTTTTAAACATCAGTTTCACTGAGATATAATTTACATTGCCATTGCATTTTTTTTCCTTTTTGTCTTTTTTCGTGACCAGTAACGGGATCGCAACCCTCAGTGTCGCGCCCGTACCGCAACCGGCAATGGGATCGCAACCCTCGGTGTCGCGTCCGCACTGTGCTCAACCAGTGAGCAGACCGGTCTCTATATGGGATCCGAACCCTCGTCGGGAGCGCATTCGCGCTCCCAAGCGCCGCACTCTACCGAGTGTGCCACTGGGCCGGCCCTGCCATTGCATTTTTAAAAGTGAAACCCTAACACATTTTCGTTTCACCCTGGTGGAAATTATCATCTGATCCTTCAAGAACTTTTCTACCGGGCCGGCCCGGTGGCGCACTGCTACAGTGCGCCGCTTGGGAAGTGCGGCAGTGCTCCCGCCGAGGGTTCGGATCCCACATACAGACCGGCCGCTCACTGGCTGAGCGAGGTGCGGGAGCAACACTGAGGGTTGCGATCCCGTTGCCGGTCACGAAAAAAGACAAAAAGGAAAAAAAAAAAAAAAAAAAAGAACTTTTCTACCACTGCTGATGAGGTTTAAATGAGGTAAATGAGGTTTACAAAACTATGATAATGAGAATATGTAAATATAATAAGGAGCACAAATAGGACACAACTGTGGTGTATATCATCTGAGTACACTATGACTGGAAAACATAAGGAAATAGACCAGAATGTCAATAGTGGTTGACTTTGGATGTTCTCTTGCCTTTCTTCTTTTTCATATTTTCTATAATGGGAGGCTGGCCAGTTAGCTCAGTTGGTTAGAACATGGTGTTGTAACATCAAGGTCAAGGGTTCAGATCCCCATACTGGCCAGCCGCCAAAAAAACCAAAACAAAAAACCCCAAGATATTATATTTTCCATAACAAACACCTGTTACTTCTACAAGGACAAAGCTCCACTAAATTAATTTTTTAAATAATAAAAACACACTTACCATGTGTAGAACATACTTTTCTGCCTCTTGAGGTCCAGATAATTGCACACGACTAGCCATATCTTGTAACGATAGTGTTAGAAAGGTCTGAAAGTCAGAAGCAGAATTAATCACAGGTAGAAGCAATGGAGGAAGACATTTTATTAAATATGTACAGAGTTCTTTCCATTGCTGTACAAAATAAATTTCCGTTTGTGAAGATGACTTGATACTGATGAACCCAGTGGTTTTAGTCATCATTTTCTAGAGGAGTAATGACAAAGGGTTAATTTTACACACATACACACACACCTGCACGCTTTTAGAAAACAGTAAGAAAAAGACCAAAAACTCAAAATCCACGAAGAGCAAAGACTATATACAAACACAGAAAAGGAAATCAAAGCGTTCTCTAACATGTAGAAAATACTGTTTCACTTATAATTAGAAAAATATAAAGTAAAACTACACTAAGATTTCCTTTTTCACCTATCAGTTTGCAGAAGCTCTGAATGTCTGGCTAGACTCTGTGCTAGTAATGGTATTAGGAAATACACCCCTCCACACAGAGCTGGCAAGAATGTACACAGGTACAATTCTATGGAAGACAAGCCAACAGCATCCCTTATCCTTTGACCTAGAGTTTTCCTTTTAGAAATGTATCCTACACATACTTTCCTATATGTATGAAATGACCTATGTGCATGGTATTCACTGTAATGGTGTTTACCATAGTAAAAGATTGGAAACCACCTCGATGTCTAACAACAGAGGACTGATTGAGTCTAGCACAGATATGCAAATGGACCACAATGCTGTTGTAAAAAGAATAAAAAGTGATGACATTCTATGAACTGAAAAGGGATCTAAGATATGTACGTCATTATGGAGACTTCTACATCTTTTGAATTTTGTTTTGTAAATGTGTTATCTATTAAATAAAATAAAATTTTAAATCACATTCATCTTTCAAAATTCAAAGTTAAAAATTTTAAACAAATGAGGGAGTTAAACAAAAGAGAGGCTACACACTTGTGGTTCATGCTCTGCTTGAGATTTGATGAAAGTGCTCCCTTTCAGGAACAAATTAAGAGCTCCTTTTTAATGGCAGCTGGCAATATTTACAGCAATGGCATTTTTTTTTCCCTTTTTGTCTCTTTTTTACTGACCGGTAACGGGATCGCAACCCTCGGTGTCGCGTCCGTACCAGGGACCGGCAACGGGATCGCAACCCTCGGTGTCGCGCCCGTACCAGGGACCGGCAACGGGATCGCAACCCTCGGTGTTGCGCCCGCACTGCGCTCAACCAGTGAGCGGGAACCGGTCTCCACATGGGATCCGAACCCTCGGCGGGAGCACCATCGCGCTCCCAAGCAGCACACTCTCCAGTGTGCCACCGGGCCGGCGCAGCAATGTCATTTTTAAAGCTGACATGTTAAAACCCTGATCTTAGAAATTCCTGATAAGCCAATGATCAAAATATATATATATATATGTACTTTAGTTCGAAAAATGGCACCCAAGAAATTGAAACTATTAATAATTTTCAGTACATAAGTAATTTAACACAAAGACTCAAAACTAAACATTTTTAAATATGAGGGTACTTCAAAAAGTTCACAGAAAAATAGAATTAAAAGATAATGCAAATCTTTCCATGAACTCTTTGAGGTACCCTTATACATAAAACTACCATTTTTCCCATTTCAAAATAAATAGAAACTTCCACCTGACTGTCCATCAATAGAAGACTAGCTGAATAAATTATGATCCATTCATACAAGGGACTACTATGTAAGGTAACTGTGATAAAGGCTTATGTTGCCATGGAAAGAGGTGCATTGTTCCTATTTTTTTTTTTGTCTTTTTTCGTGACCGGCAATGGATCGCAACCCTCAGTGTTGCGCCCGTACCGGACCGGGACCAGCAACGGGATCGCAACCCTCGGTGTTGCGCCCGCACCTCGCTCAGCCAGTGAGCGGGAACCGGTCTGTATGTGGGATCCGAACCCTCGGCGGGAGCGCCACCACGCTCCCAAGCGGTGCACTGTAGCAGTGCGCCACCGGGCCAGCCTGAGAGGTGCATTGTTCAAAGAAGCATATTAAAAAAGAAAGCCAGTTAAAGAATAGCATGTAAAGGGGCCGGCCTGTGGCTCACTTGGGAGAGTGTGGTGCTGACAACACCAAGTCAAGGGTTAACATCCCCTTACCGGTCAACTTTCAAAAAAAAAAAAAAAAAAGAATAGCATGTAAAGTATGATCCCAATTACATATAATAGGGAGTGTCTATGCACACACATAGAAGAGAGAGAGAGACAGAGCAACAAGAAGAATCTAGAAAAACATCCACCAAACATTAATACAGAGTCATTTCTCAGCATCAGAGATGGCTGATTTAACCGCAATGCCATACCCCCTTGCCTCTAGCAGTCTTCCAGCCAGCAATGCCAAAGGACACAGTTCCATCACCAACACTGATGCAGTCTACCTATTAAGAGTTCTTGAAAAGCTTTTGATTTTCTGACGTTTTCTAGTAAGAGACTAACTTGGCTAGAAAATCCTTTGATGTTTCCCCATTCTATTATTCTGGTACTAGTACATGATGCCAGAAGTGTAGCAGCCACCATCCAAGATTTAACCTGACTAGACACATCTTTTAGTGATACCATCCCTGTCTACCACACCTTACAGTGGCCCCCGGGCTCCCCTCAGCAGTGCTTGTGAGCCCAGTGTACCACAACCCACCAGGAGTCAGCACATGAAGGACCCAGGACACTGGTGACTTTGTGGCCACTGCCCCAGTCCTGGAATGACCATGTCCAGACCCTTCCTGTTTGTCTGGTCAAACTCTTGTTTTGGATTTATCCTATCCAAATAAAAAACTGCATTTTACTATACTGACTTCTTAAATTATAAGCTACCAACTTATTCCAAAATGAGCAACTGTGGTTGAGTATTTCACAGATAGTTAATTGATCATTTTTGCAGAGAAGCCTACTTTTTAGATCTCTTAAGTTCTAATTCTTCATTTAACTTTCATTTGCCATTCTGCAATTTAACATATCTCTGAACGTGCACCACCTTTTATCCTTGTTAACATTTGGATTCTTTTATCTAAACCTGAAGTACTAGTCACAAACTGGGTGCAGCTATTTTTTAATGGCTACCTCTTGATGGTGAGAGACAGGAATTTACTTAGGATGGTTTTGGTAGCACCTGACCCCAAAAGAAAATTTTGTGCAGAGAATTAGGCTGCTCGTTCGTTACCTTGAATCTCTTAGATCCTGGTCTTTTTATTTTATTTTATTTTATTTTTTTATAAAAAGATGACCGGTAAGGGGATCTCAACCCTTGGCTTGGTGTTGTCAACACCACGCTCAGCTAGTGAGCCAACCGGCCATCCCTATATAGGATCCGAACCCGTCACCTTGGTGTTATCAGCACTGCACTCTCCCGAGTGAGCCACGGGCTGGCCCGATCCTGGTCTTTTTAGCCTGTGGGTCAAGCTGGTTTTTCTCTAGCTGACAGGTTACATTTGTTTTTGATCTTTGTTGATTTGCTTTTTCTTTCACATTCTTTATTTTCCTCTCACAAATTAACTTTTTACAAATTCTCTGCTGATTTCCTTATGTCAGTCAGGAAGCTGCAGTTACTCTCTCTAGAATATTTGGAAGGAGTTCTTTCTCTTGCTCAGTGGTCATCTCCTACCTTCCTGCCTCTTCTCCTTGGAAGCATTTGTCCTCATGTGGTCTGCCTTCCTCCACAACTACTCCCACCTACTTTTAACTTTTAACTTCTTCAGGGAACTAAGGGAAGTCACCTGCCCCAGCTCATCACATCTATGGTCTATTGTCTGTTACCGGGTAGCCTAGCAACAAACAGCCCCTCTTCTGGCTCCTCAGCTTCCTCTCCCACCATCGCCATGGGGGACACAGGGCAGAGGATATGCACGGGGAGAGTCACCATGTGCTCACCTGCTGTGAACTGCTGAATCTCTAACCAGACTTCTTCTCAAGAGAAAAAAGCATCCTCTACTTGTGTAAGCCACTCTTAGTAGGATTCCTGTTACTTGTAGTGTGTGCCTTCGTAACACACATAAGATTTCACTTTTCTTTTTATACTTTTCTGTACTTATTGAACATTTGATAATAAGCATATTTTCTATAATCAAAAACCATCAGTCATTTTCATCTTGAAAATGAAAATTATATAATTTGCTTACATATTAGAATTCAACTGCACACAGCTCCTACAACCCTGGTCTAAATAATAATGTCAGAGTAGCATTATGTTCAAACAAGAAGTTCAAATGGAGATCAGCACAGCCTGAGAGGTTCTAAGGCTGGTCACGAGGAACGCAGGTCTACATCACTACTGTCCCCCCACCTGCCCATCTGGAGTTTGTGACCTCTCTAAGGCTACCTTTCTTTGCCTTCCAATGGAGCCACATCTCCTACCTTTCTTCCTCTTCACCTGCTCCTCTTCTCCAATACCCTGCTCTAGCCCTAAAAAGACCAAAAGGTATAAATCAAACTCTTTCTAAGAAACCAATCGCAATGGGAGTTTTCTCTTCATACAGAAATCCTGCCCTACTTTATGCCTGTAACTGCTTCCTCAGCAATGAAAAGGAAAAGAGAAGAGGAACAAGGCCAGGGGGAGTAGGGAGATGCCGCCTGGGACAGCACTTTCCTCACCTTTGTTAGCCTCTGAATGTTCTTCTTATAAAGAGACGACAAGCATTGCTTCACCAGGCCCATGTTGTTATCACGAGTGAAAGTCTCACTGTGCTTGGTCACCAAGTTTCGGAGTTCTGAGGGGTTATTGGTTGAATAAACTTGTGCTAACTCATGGTATGCATTGCTAAGAGGCTAAAAGTGTGAAGGTGGGAAAAAAATTAGATTAAAACTTTAGAAGACTAAAATTTGTACAGGAAGCAAAAAACAAAACATATGGTATTGTGTTTTGAGGAAGTACATTCCATATTGTTGTTAGGTCACAAATTATAATTTGTCCAAAGCAAATGCCTAGTTTTTAAGACCAGGGATAGAGATTCACTATGGAATTATTTATTGTCAATAAAACTTTGTAGTACAGAACAAATAACTGCATAGCAGCTGAAGGTCTACTGAATTTAGTGAAGGCATGCATGTCTTTTTTTCTCTATAAGTGGTTCTGTTGCCTTCTATTGATAAATTATACTGGGAAGAAAGAAGGCAAAATTTCCATCATTCCCAACTCTCCCCCTCTCTCACACACATACACGTCACCAGATGCATGGAACAATCTGCTACTTTTGCTAGCAAGTACGAAGATAGGAACAAGAGAGCTAGCAGTGGCTGAGCACCTACTGAGAGCCTGAGCTGCTTTAGGCATTTTATACATATTATCGCTTTATGTTAAATATTAAGAAACTGGGGCAGAGGTCCAAGAGAATGTGGAGTAGTCCTGAGGAGCACTACCAAAGGGTAGAAACTGGACTTAAACCCACCTCTCTGACTCTGAAATCTGTTCTTTTCACTGTTTATGATACCATCATAAATAAATTACTCATTCTTGTGAATGACATCCTCAAGCCATAAGACATCACTTTATAAAAGCCGGCTCAGGGGCCACTGAAGGACCCACAGGAGTTCTCCAAAATAATTTGAGTAAATCTGCCTTAAACCTACACTGCCCATCACTCTTCCATGGGAGTCCAGGGAGCTCTCTTAACCAGCTTTCCCTTCCCCCTCATCCTGGAACTAGGTTGACTAGAGCCCGGAGAACCACAACAGGGCTCTTAGGCAAAGGACACTTGGCTACCTTCAACAAGCCAGCAGGAAAATCTTCTAATCGGGAAGATATTTAGATTGACATCTGAAAATTTTGAGTTTTGAACAAGGAGGATCAGGGTGAAATTGTTATCAAAATGATTGTGACCTCATAACCCTTTAAAAAAAAAAAAGAAAGCAAGACAGCCTATAGCACCCAGTATTCCTAGGAGGTTTCCCATCGGAGTACTAACCAGGCCTGACAACCTTGCTTAGCTTCCAAGATCAGATGAGATTAGGCACATTCAGGGTGGTATGACCACAGACTTTATAACCCTTTTAAACTTCTCAAAATTTTAAAAACCATAAGCATATATTTAAAATTTTTTTAAATAAGTAGTGTAATATTTCAACATGGTCCCAAAGATGGGTTGTCAGTGAGAACTGAAACAAAGTTCAGTGAGTAGAGCTTGTACTCTTCATCTGGGAGCTCTAGTAAGATTTCCCAATACTGGGGCAAATGAGAGTTCAATCAAATCAGTACTGCTTTTTCAGTATTTTTGCTAAAATGTAATAAAGAAATACAAGAAGAAGAAAAAAAAAATCAACCCTTATAGGACCTTAAACATCTATAGCTACCTAGAGCAAAATTTGAAAACAGGATCCAATCAGGTGATGAGAATGTATACGGACTGGAATGGAGTTAGAGATTCTGACTGCCTGCAGCTTCCAGCAGACACCTAGTAAATGTCTGCTAACTAGAAGCTAAATCACCATAAAATAAAATTGCAGAACTAGATCATTACAATATATATATTTTTTGTACAATTTATGTACTCAAAATGTTCGTGTAAGAAATTAGTTTTATTTTAAAAACTCACCTTAATGAATCTACCCACAATCTGAGACGTGTATTTTGGTAGCTGTTGTACTTTGCCAAGTAATATCAAAGACACTAGAATATACTTTTTATATGATTCCAACATGATATGACTGACTGCCATGGCAGGAGTAGTTATAGCCTGAGCAAGAGAAGAATGTTTAGTGTGAAGAGAGAGCACACTGTAGCAGCAAACCATTGCCTACATGTATCACTTTAATTACAAAGCAACAATACTTGTATTTAATGTCAAGTTTTTTCCTATCCCACTGGTCTATACTGACATCCATTATTTTTTATTAACATTATTTATTATTCATTTACTTATTAACATTAACAGCTTTACTGAGATATAATTCACACAGTATAAAATTTGCCCTTTTAAAGTATACAATTCAGTGGTCTCCGGTATATTCACTATTTTGTAAAACCATCACCACTACCTAATTTCAGAACATTTTCATCCTCCCAAAAAGAAGCCCCCTACCCATTAGCAGTCATTTTCCATTTGCTCCTCCCCTCAGCTCTAGGCAACCATTATTCTTCTTTCTGTCTCTATGGATTTGCCTACTTTGGACAGTTCATATAAATGGCATCATACAGTATGTGGTCTTTTGTGACCGGATTCTTTAACATAGTATGTTTTCAAGGTTCATCCATGTTGTAGCATGGATATATCAGTACTTAATTCCTTTTTATGACTGAATAATGTTCCATTGTGTGGATATATCACACTTTGTTTATCCATTCCTCGTTTGATGGGCATTTGGGTTGTTTACATCTTTTGGCTATTATGAATAACGCTGCTATAAACATTAGTGTACACATTTTTGTGTGGACATATGTCTTTAATTCTCTTGGGTATATTCCTAGGAGTGAAACTGCTGGGTGATGTGGTAACTCTATGTTTAACATTCTGAGGAACTGCCATGCACCATTTTACAATCCCAATAGCATTTATGAGTATTCTAATTCTCCACATCCTTGCCAACACTTGTTACTGGCTGTCTTTTTAAATTCTAGCCATCCTAGTGGTTGTAAACTAGTATTACACTGTGGTATTGATTTGTATTTCCTTAATGATGATGAGTATCTTTTCATGTACTTATTGGCCATTTGTATATATTCTTTGGAAAATGGTCATTAGAATACCACATGATCACAGAGAAACAGTCTTTGAAAAGACTTCTGCCTGAAACCCAGAGGCCCCAGGATCAATCCACTCCAGCTGTAAATCTAAGGGAGCACTTCTTTAGTCACACAGTTCAAAACAACCGAGGGACATTTATAGAGATGATTACCTGTTCGTAAAAGTAGAGTGCTCTTTCAAAGTTCTTCAGCCCAGTATAGATCATCCCGCCATAATAATAGTAACATAAAAAGTGCTTTGCATCATAGGCTCCGTTCTCTTTACAGATATCCATCATGTCCACATCAAGATAAGGGAGGGCAGGCTTAAAGCATTTTGCTAGCAAACAAAGCTGTGAACAAAGTAATATTAAATCATCATTTTAATTTTACTTTAGTAGGTGTTAGGAGAAGGAGGAAATTCACAGATTCCAGAAATTTCAAAAATCCTATTTTGTATTACATTTTATTAATTAAAATGATCTAAATGTGAACATATTACTTCATTTCCTTAACCATTCAGAATAAAATAGCATTTCTTTATAAAAAACTAACCAGCTGTAAGGCAGATAGAGCACCCCACAGACGAATTGAGAATAGAGAACTCCACAGATAAGCTCAGTTATCACTTGTCTGTTTACAGATAAGCAAAGAAGTATGTCCTTTTTCTCTTCATTGAACTTGTGGAATAGAAAAAGACCAGCATGGTGGGATAAAAATAGAAGTCTTTTCTTCAATTAATTCTTTTCAATTTTTGAATCTTTTAGTAGTTTAGGAAATTGTCCTACTCAAGAAAGCAAGCACATGGAAGTTCTATACCTAGTAATGGTGCCACAGTGTAGATATATTACAAACTCATCGAGCTATACAGTTAAGATTAATGCTTTACTGTACTTATGTTATACCTTAATCACAAAAAGATTTTTTTTTTTTTGTCTTTTTCGTGACCAGTAAGGGGATCACAACCCTTGGTGTGGTGTTGCCTGCACCGCGCTCAGCCAGTGAGCACACCGGCCAGTCCAATATAGGATCCGAACCCGTGGTGGGAGTGTCGCTGTGCTCCCAGCACTGCACCCTCCCGAGTGCGCCACGGGGCCGGCCCACAAAAAGATTTTTAAAAAAGTAAAAGAAAGCCCATCTCCATGTGAAACTAGAACATGTGTTTCAAATAATACACATACCATGTTATTAATTAAGGAAACAATGTAAGAACCCCATACAGACTGGTTAAACTATGGTACACCTATATTATGGAATACTCTGCAGCTCTAAGGCACTGCTGTGGAATCACCTCTAAGATATATTAAAAAGAAAAAAGCAAAATACGGGCCGGCCCAGTGGCACACTGGAGAGTGCGCCGCTTGGGAGTGTGGCGGCGCTCCCGCCGAGGGTTTGGATCCCACATACAGACTGGTTCCCGCTCACTGGCTGAGCGTGGTGCAGGCGCAACACCGAGGGTTGCGATCCCCTTGCCGGTCCCCGGTATGGGCGCGACACCGAGGGTTGCGATCCCATTACCGGTCAGTAAAAAAAGACAAAAAGGAATAAAAAAAAAAAAAAAAAAAAAAAAAAAAAAAAAAAAAAACAAAAAAA